CTTCCACCCCGGCCCCTGCCGGGCCCCCGGCCCCCTTCCCAGCAGCCGGCAAAGTCCCGGGGTTCCAGCCCCCCCCCCCCCTTTATGTTACAGGCACTGGGGATCACCGGCATCTGTCTCCAGGCGGCTAACCTTTACGGCTACGTCCACTGTAAACTCGGGGGCGCCTCCCAAACCATCCGCAAAGTCGCCCCCCACTTCCCGGCCCAGGAGATATTCCAGAAGGTGAGCGGGAGAGCCCCCTACCCCGACTCTGGGGGTGAAGCCTCATCGGTGGGGATGAAGAGTGGATTGCTGGGGTTTCCACCTCTTTGGCAACCAGCCTCCTTTTATTGCTCCTGCAGGAACGATCGGAGGACTTCCAAAAACACCTCCTGAAGCACCTGGGGACCCAGAGCCATTAGGAGGAGGAGGAGGACCCCTGGGGGACGGTTCCTGCGCTCAACACCCAGGCAGGCTGCACTCCGCTTCAGAAGGGCCAACGCAGCACATCCAGCCACAGAGGAGCAGCTTCCTCTTGGCCTCTCATCCCTTGTGACGCTTCCTAGAATAGCAGCCCTCTTCTAGGAAGCTGTTCCGGCCTCCCCCCCCCCCCGTCTGCTGATGCCGAGCTCCGATCCCACCCCAAAAAAGGGGGATTCTCCCCTTGTGAGGCAGGCCTGGCTACCTCTCCCTACCCCCTTGGCAGCGTTCCCTCGGGGCCCTTAGCGGCTCCCTCACAATTGGGCAGGCCTGGCATAAAAATCCAGCCCATCTCCGTTATTCCGTCACCCATCCCTTCAGCCTTTGTGGGAGGCTTTCTATGGCTCTACTGCAGGGACTGGGGGTGCACGCCACGCGTTTCTTTCCGCCCCCGTCCCCCTGTGGAGGATGCTGGGGGCGCTAACCAGTCATCCTTCCTGCCAGCCTCTCCCTGGGGAGCAGCAAGGGCCACGAGGGGAGGGCGTCTGCCCACAGCCTCTGCCTTCGCCCTGCCTGATCTGAGAGGCAGATGAGGAAATGAAACCGTGATCCCTCTGCTTAGAGCCAGACAAAGGCAAACAGAGTTGTTGTTTTTATTTGCATTCTTAAGAGAGCTGAGATGGCCCCACGCGGCATTTCCCGTGAACAGGACCCTGCCGGTATCACCCTTTCGAAACACCTGGAGGGTGAGGCTAAACAGAATTCAGGAAACAGGCTTTACATAATCCTCAAATAGAAAAAGACAGACTTACGTTTTTCTCAATAAAAGCAACCTCTGAACTTGTTTCCAGTGGCTGATTTCACTAGTGAAGGTAATTACTAAATCATGATAAGTGGATCTGCTCCCAGGAACAAAACGCAGCCTGTTTTGGGAAATTTAGAAAGGCTTCCCTCAGAAAAAACATCTCAGGTAGGCAAGTATTATTCAAAGGTATTTATTTCCACAAACGTGTTTATGCACCTATATAGATTTGCACAAAGGATCCACATTCCTCAGTTACTCAGATCGTGTCTTCTTCCTGTGGGGAGTTCTGGGTACAGTAGTCCTGGATTCCTGCGAAAAGACCCAAAGAATTGGAGTCAAACTCCGCGATGCCTCCCTCTCTGGCCGGCTCCCAGCCACAGGCATGAAGGCCGCAAGGTGGCTCTCGACTGGCCTGGGAGGCCACTATTACTCAAAGGAGTGGCCTGTGGCTGAAGAAGACTGCGGCTCAAAACAGGATTGGATTTGCTGTCCAAAACAATGTTAAAAAAAAAAGGATGACGGACGAGGCCCCCGAAGGGGCTGAACTCACTTTGGATAATGTTCCTGCAAGACAGGGTGGCTGGAGAATGGGGTGCTTCAGCTAAGAAAGAGTGGCCTCTGTCACAGCTTTTTCCTGCTCGAGGAAAGGGGGAGAGGGAAGGTGCAGATTTAGTGAAATGCTCCCTCCAGTTGCCCACCAGGGTGCCTCGTCCACTTCGAGGAACAGGGATTCTCACTGCCGATCTGCTGCTTGGCGCCAAAAATGCACCAATGGGTTGGTCTTACCTATTTGAGGGTCGAGAGGCATTTTTCCCAGGAGAGGCACGTTCAAGGTGCGGCACATCATCTCTGCACCCCCCGTGGTGAGAGGAAATATTTGGGACTCTTTCTGTAAAAAAGGGGGGAAACCGTCACACAGGCTCCGAGATGTACCAGGACGGAAGGGCCTGAATGTTTGTGCCACAGAGGGGCCTCCTCATGACAGCCCAGAGCAGTGAAACTGAGCCTGCAGCCCCCTCCAAGGGAGGGAACACCCCTCCTTGGCCAGTGGGTTGCAAAAGGCTCTCTGGGATTCGTAGGAGAGCCCTTCTGGAAGCTGGAGGCCTAAAGGGAGAAGAAACTCTTAAGGACTGGGTGGGGGTAACAGAATCTCACCGCGCAAGGACTGAACTAGGCAAGAATTAATTGTCCTGCTTAAAAGTTATTAAAAGAGATGTGACGATACCTTACATTTGGGGCATACGAAGCCGCTCATATTTTCCACCACTCCAATGACAGGAAGCTTCACCTTACGGCAGAAGCTGATCTCTTTCCGAACATCTTGGAGCGCCACTTCCTGTGTGAAAGAAAAGCTGACCATTAACCCAGCTCTCCCGCATCAAAGCCGCCCTTGAAAGGAAAAAGTGGCCCACTGACCACAGTGCCCTTAAGGTTCGGCCCAGGGGGTCCTGCAAGCATTGCTGGGGGAACTCCCACCTTGATCTCTACCTGCTTCTTCTGCTCTTCCTGCCCTTCCTCTTCTCACGAGGCCTCCTCTCCCAAACCCCAAACGGCTGCTCCCCATATTATTTCTGCAATTCTGGCCGTATCTACTGATTCTCCTTCAAAACTGTCTCATTCAGGAGGAGTAGAGGGATAGAAGAAAGAGGGGTAGAGAGGGTGGGAGAGAGGATGGGAGGGAGGGTGAGAAGGAAGGGAGGGAGTGTATTGGGAGAGAGGAGTGATAGAGGGGAAGTAGGGTAGAGGGGAATGTTGGAGGGAAGAAGGAAAGTTGGAGGGGGGCGAAAGAAAGGGTGTATGGAGGGTCAAAGAGGTACATTGGGTTTCTATTTTTTGGGGTATTGTTGACAAGAGGAATGGCTGTGTTTATTGTTTAATGTTATATGGCCCCGGTTATGCACAGTATATGTGACTGTACGAAAATGAAAATGGAAAATAAAAAACACATTTACGAGGGGGAAAAAAAACTGGCTCATTCACTCCCTGCTCTAATTGTGCTTCCCGCTTACTTGTATGCTTGCAGCCCCACTGAAAAGCCATTTCAGTCCCATTACTGAGGTTCCGTATCTCACCTGTGGGGTGGTGATGATCACAGCCCCATCGACTCTGGCGCTGCTGAGGAACTGGACTATGGATATATGTTCATCTGAAGTTCCCGGAGGGGTATCTACAATCAGGTAGTCAATTTCACCCCAGTCCACATCCCGAAGAAACTGCTTAATCATCCCTAAAAATAATAACAATAAAAAAATAAAGGGAGGAACTGGATCTTTGGGGGTGCCTGAAGTTTACCTCAATCCTGTGTCTCTGTGCTGCAATGTATTTGTCTTAATATATTTTCACATGGCCAAAATAGACAAAATAATCATCAACTAGTTATCAAGCTGTAGAATTAGAGCCAGTTTAATTTTAACTAAACTTGCGGAAGTTCCAGAAGCCGCTGCCATTCAGATGCAAATCAGGGGCTGGTATTCTCTGCAAGGGCTGAGAGACACAAACCGTTTTTTTTCGGTCCTCTCCAAATAACAGCATCGTCAGGGCTGCTCAGCAGAAACCCCACTGACATCACACCCAGGTTTTCTTCCACATACTAGAAGACAGAAGCACATACACAACTGATAAAATAAAATAAAAAAACATAGATGCATTATTATTATTTCTGTGTACGAAGCAGCTGCAACCTTATCACTCCTAGAGTTCACACAGAGATCAAGAGATCTGTATCTAGGCCAAACTTTTTCAGAAGGTAAATCTGTTTTCAGTCAGTAAATTAATGTAAGGGACTTCAGCACCAAAATAGGGGAATATACTACAGGCCATCTAATGCTTGCTTTTTCTTGGCTAAAATATATTCATTTCTAATGACTGGAATTGGCAATCAGCAGAAAAGACCAGAGTTCTCCTCACATTGAATTAAGAAATGGACACAGCAACTTACCACTGGAGACCAGCCGGATCCACTTTGATGAACCTGAAAGGAGGTTTGGAAATGTTAATATGAAGATAGCACCTAGCATCACAACAATTTGCTACTGCTCTAAATTTGTAATTCAAAGTGACAGATGATTTATGATGATGATATTCATTGGATTAGAAAAAACCCAATACATACATTTCCCAAGACTAGATATTGGTAAGAGATTGACAATCAACAAGCATTTCCCCCCCAAAAAACAACAACAACAACACCCAGGCGCTCTGTTTTAGAAACACGCAAGTTTGCTACAACAGAATTTTCTGTTCTGAGATAGACCTTTTAAATACATCGTATTATTAGTTTCAAAAAGGCCAGTTTCCCACTTTGTAGAACCACAAATCAAAAATAAAGAGTGTCCATGTTACTTTATTTTTATCTAGAAAGCTGCATTTTAAAAAGGACTGCAGGGCAGAAGCAACACAGCCATTTCTGACATACAAAGCCACGCCGGTGCTCCCTCGAGGCCCATGATTTTCGGGATGGATGGTCCACAAATGTCAACGTCCAGCACGGCAACCTGGCATGGGGAGAGACAGCCTGGATTTACAATTTGCAAAAGGACCTAATCACTATTTGCTATCAAGCAACATTGTTTATGTGCAGCCTTCCTCACGAAGCCACCCCGAGAAACAGCTTGTTCCTCCTTGTCTCCAATATCAGGCCACTGTTACAACCACCTCTGCGAGAGAGAAAACCCTCACCTGTGTAGTTTCCTCCTCTGCTAATCCGTGGGCCAGGAGAGCAGTAAATGTGCTCTTTCCCACACCTCCTTTCCCAGACAGCACCAGCAACTTGTGCTTGACAGCTTTCATTTTTTCCTTGATTTCCTCAATAGCTTCACGGAGGGGAAAACAAAACAGAAAAAGCTTTAATAAAACATTTTGTATTTG